CGCTCTTCCTTCTTGTTTTCCAAACCAATAACATTCCTCGTCTTTAAAGGTACGATCTCTTGAAACCTGCAAAACATAAAACCATTGAATTATATTTCTCCCCTTCTGCATCTAAAACCCACAGACTATAATCTCATGTGTCACATTACATACCCGAGAACATACATATCAGCCCCATTCTTCAAATTCAGCCACTCGTCTAGATCCACTGCTAGGCTTCCCAATGGAGATCTTCCCCCGACATTCCAAGTCCCCACGAATATCCTGAAACACAAACCATCAAATTCACACTTTTTTAGCCTCTACAGATATAGATCCCTCTCTAAACAAATCGGTAGCTTTTCGAGACCTTGCCTTAATTCAGCACTTGAAGTGCAAGAACCCGTCTCTTGAGCCATACCACATCCATCATCCATCAATTCCTCCCAGCTATCTGCCAAAAAGTAGAACCCGTAGAATCCACCATGAGGCACTTCACTACACAAAGCAATAGGCAAAAGTTAGAGAAACTATGAAAGAGAACAAACCCGATCGCTGATCCTTGTCTTCTTCATTCTTTCTCCCGAACCACTCCCTAAACATCTTAGATCTCAGCCCCTTCCTCTTCATCACCTTGCTTGTATGACCAAGTGCATTCCACGACCACTTCTACACACCCATAGTCCAAACCTCCCTCACGTAAGCTTCCCTGCACTTGGCTCACACGAAACAATATATCTTTTATAAAATTTTACAACTCCTCATAATCTATTCATATAGAGAATATAGAAAGAGAAAGGAGCATATATATATGTATATGTATGTATATATGGGGTCAAGGAATAGATTGGTGAACGGATTAAAATAGTCCATAGGGTTAGGAAAACAAAAACAGGAAACATATCTGACCCTTCACAAGCATCTCATTTGGTTTGACTATCAAAGTTAGGTCGTTTGGTGCTAGTCACGTATGTCCCACGGGTTTCTGCATTGACAACGAGAGGTAACATTATCCACATCCTTCCTTAATTAATGGTATTACCTAACCAGGATAAATAAGTACAGATCGAAACTAAACTCACCATTTATTATGTCATAGATTTATGAATATCAAGCTTCTTGTTTTTTTCCTTTTAGAATTTATTAAAATAATTTAATATGTGATCTAACGGCATAACACCTGAATTCCTAATAGGCTAGTAGTATATGTAGGCTCTCTGGTCAGTGGCAGACTAGACATTTCTCATGGCTTGTAGTCTTAACAACTTGAATGGTTAGGAAATCCTTGGATCCATTCGTGTTTTAATGCTCTTGTCATAATCTTGACACTAAATGCCAAAGAATCACTCGCTATACTGCTGGGAATACCATAAAATTGAATATTTTGTGGACCACTCGTTCCAATTTACTAAATGATCTGTCTACATCAGTATCCATTGCAGAATTAACACCGCTTTGTTATTTTTATAGTTTGCGATAAAGAAATATTGAAAGATCATACTTTTCACCGTCAATTCATAATCTCTACAATACATCATAACCATAATCTACATCTAAACTCTATTCATTAATTTTTTTTAATAACGAGGTATCTGAGATCGAATTCAGAATTATCTTATGTGTTTATTGAGTGATCCTAATTTAGTTTCGTATAAACAACTAAGGATTCGATTTCTGAAATGGACTAACAAAACGAAAAGATAATTAAATGTAATAATATTATTTTTATGATATAGTTTTATTTGTATTAAATGTTCTGTAAATTATAGGATTATAAAGGGAAATTAGATTTTGACGTGGCTTTCACGTCACGTCACAGATAAAAATGTATCGTAATTCAAATGCATAATAGTACGAGTAGGTGAATAATATAGGGGGAGGTATTAAAGAGGGCAATTATTTGAGAAATGTAATTTTCACAGATCGGGACATTCTATGGCACAAGTTGGATTAGGTCACGTTCTTCGTCGGTGCATGTCAGTCTCTCAAATCATAATAACGAAGGAGACAACTTATTTCTTACATTTATTTTCCTCTGTCTCGGATCGCCTCCTTGGCATTTTCCTTCCTTTTTCTTTCTTTTTTTTAATATAACAAAGATCTCAATAAATAATAATTTCGAAGAATGATCAAACTCTCTTAGCGGTCTACGTTCGTGCAATCATATGATCGAAACGACACTGAAAATCAACTTTTCAATTTGGAAGAACCAAACTAAAATAGTAATAATTACGTAACGAAAAAAATCAAGTATTAATATCATAATAATATCAGTCCATTTAAGTAACGGAATTCTCTAAAGACCAAAAAATTAGACCTCGTGTGACACACCCACGAGCCCTCTCCCGCGCATACGACGCCAGGTAACTTTCTCCCCAAGGGAGAGTGAGCTTTTTGACATTTTTGTCTTAACTACAGTAACAATAATGAAAAAGGAAAGAGAATCACGGTTTTAGATCCGTATTCTTATTGCCATTTTTCTTTATTTCGTAATTTCTTGTTACCATTTTCATCAGAGAATCAATGGTCAAAACTAAAATCTTCATAGGCAAATACTAATATTAACATTACCATTCTAAATACAACTTCTGTCCCACTTATCTCTTTCTTTATTTTTAGACTTCAATATAAACAAGATGTGAAAACTAAAACAAAATAGCAGGGATATAAAACACTGAATTACAATCCATACAAACTGGAATAGAGTAAAATAAATAAATAAATTTGGAGAAATGTAGTTTTACCCACAAAAAAATGAAAAAATATATATATTCGTCAAGGTCTACATGTTCAAAATAAAGAGACAAGACTGAAACATTGCAGGAATCTAAAGTAATCAATCATATGCCGCAACACACACACGCATATATATAAGTTATCAAAAACACACACACACACACATATATATATATATATATCAAAATCGATTTCCGTAAAGAGTTAAAACCTAGAGAACATTCTTGAAACTGCAGAAGGGGTTGGATTCCAAGCCGATAACGGATCGAATTGTTGGAGAGTAGGAGTTGGTGTCTGAATCTGCGGAAGCGGTGTCTGAAAACCGATGTTGTTAGGGATGAAGCCACTCGGATGCTGAAACGCATGGTTCTGGTACGCTTGTGGCGCAAGAAACCTCGAGTAATCTCCAATATTCATCATGTTCATCATGCTGTCGTTTCGGCTCATCTGGTTGCCCATCTGGGTTCCCGGAAAATCGAAATTATACGCCCATTCTCCGTTCGTTGCGAAGTTTGGGTAGCACGCCAATGGAGTCGGAGCCTGGTTAATGGCCGGACCGAAGTTGCCGTAATGAGGAGGACCAGAGCCGTGGCCGACACTGTTGAACGATCCGTAAGTTAGGGTTTCTTGGAGATGAACGGATTCCGCCGCTTGTTGCTCGAACGGGACCAGCGAGAGATCGGATTCCGGTTTCTTGGTTTCTTGATTTACGGAAAACTGGTCGTTCTTCGTCTCGGACAGATCTGCAGTCATTCGTTTTTGCGAGTGGAGAAACTGACGCCGTTCCTGCAGATTCTGTGACTTGTGATCCAAGGAATCAAAGAGCACCGCCAATTCCTCGGCAGTGTATCTGTCGAGGTCGTGACCCGTCTTCATCTTCTTCTTCTTATCGTCTTCTTCCTTCTTGATCTTACCCAGAAACTGGTGAAGAGTGAGGTTTTTCTTTCCTTTGTCGGCGCTGCTCAGTTTCTTGTACTTCTCGGCCACTTCCTTCACCTTCGACATCTCCCTCGGCCATGTCTGAATCTCTCCGTCCGGTCCGTAGCAGATAACGGCGACCTCGACGTCGCAGAGAGTGGCGAGCTCTTGGGCTTTCTTCATCACAGTGAGTTGTCTCCTCTCGAACCCGGTTTTTCTCTTGGCCTGTGCTTTGGATGAAGAAGAAGACGAAATCGAAGAACACGACGAAGACATTGCGTTTTCTTTCTTCCTTTCTTGTTGTTTCAGAAGACGGAGAATAATGATTGACGAAGTAACCTTACCACTCACTCGTATATATATAGATTGTAAATGCTGAGTAACTTTTTACGCAATGCTATTAAAACCTTCAGTAATTAAAAAAAAGGCAATTAACGCTAGTTTAAAGAAAAGGAAAATAGAGGATTACAGGAAAAAGGAAACGGAGAATTACAGTAAAAAAAAAAAGTAACAAAGGATTGACGAAGAAAAGGAAAGAGTAATTCCTTCTAAGAGAATTTGCTGAAATTACATCGTTGGAAAAAAAAAACTCTAACCCTAGAGTTATTTTTCAAGTTCTGAATTTCCGATTTTAGACAATTGGCTATCTAATTTTTATATTAAATTTCATTATGTTCGGACTATTTTGATTTAGGGTTTTCATAAAATTTAATTGCACAACGTTTTGTTTAAATTATGGAATTGTTAAATTGGATCAAATCCTATAATACCCCTAATTTCTTTTCATAATTACCTTGAGGGCCACGCGACAAAAAAAGTTTTAATATTGGGCCCAGATAAATTCTTCTTAGTTTATCGAGCCCATTATTTGGAACCCATTTATAATCCATCTTTCGACCCATTACGAACGAATGCGAAAATTGTAAATAACATTCAGAATTTCAAAATTCAAAATCCGAACACCATACGGCGGCTGCAGAAGCAGCAGCTTCTCTCTCTGATCCGAGGCTTTTCTTCTGCAAAACCTGGAGGAGGAGGTAAGATCTCCCGCTTGTTTCTCTCTCTTTGTTTCACGAGAAAATTTATCGGCAAGTGTCTGATTGGAAAACGGTGAAGAACCGGAAGAAGAGCAAGGCTTCATGAGAATCGGCTATTCACAACTTGTATGATTGTTTCTGCCATTTACTAATCTTGTGGTAAACTGGAAAATTCATTGTTGTTGTATTGTGGCTTTTGTATACTAACTGTACGGACAGAAGATTCTTGGATCCGTTCTCGTTTCAATGCTTTTGTTATGAAATTGAGACAGCATGAGATCGAACTTTCGTGGAAACCAGTCTACGTACAATATGATTCGGTCGGTATTTTCTTTACGGGAAAAGAAAATCTTGATCAACTCGGAAGAAGAGACGTTCGATCGAGTTCTAGTAGGCCAATTGCGGTCTTACAATGTCAAAATTTATCAATTTTCTTGAACATTTTGTTTTCGAGTTTTCCTTCTGTTCTGGTTTTCGTGTAGAGAATACGAGAGTATATACGCCCCATGTGAAATCATTCGGAGAATCGACCTTTCGATTTCAGGAGCATTGCCAGCCAATTTGGCCGCAAACCCGCGAAAAGAAACGAATAAGCAAAACGAATTGTTCAGGAAAGTACAGAGTTTTACAAAACTATCAGACAGAACAAGTGACCTCCCGAGCCGAAACGTTAATGTCGGAACCACTAAACCCTTTCCCATTAGATCTCATCGTCTCTGCCTCTCTATGCTTCGAGACTTCCATTCTGTTCCTGTCTCTGTCCCTGCCTCTTCTTGCATCCAATACCAAATGCTGTCTGAACATTGTGATGAACGCTTCCACTCTCTCGTTCAACTCCTCGTTCGATAATCTCCCTGGCTCTATGTACCCATCTTCTTCATCGTCATCATCTGTTACGACGTTAACCCTCCTCTCGCGTTCTTGATCGTCCTCCTTCTGTGCCGTTTTCTCGATAAAAAAACGATCTTTCTCATTTTCCTCTGTTTCGGAGCAAACCCTTTTGGTCTCTTCAACGACTTCTTTCTCTACGCAGCTTTTGATCTCTCCCTCGAACTTGTTGAGGTCAATTACGAAATCAGAGCAAACCCTTTTCGCCTTCTTCGTTTTCTTCCCTCTCATCCTCAATCTTCCTCCGCAACGAGTCTTGAGCTCTTGATCTACGCAATGGCAGGAACTCGAGCGAGTTGAAGTGAAGTAAACGGCGATGAGGACGAGGTTGAGTACGAGGAAGACCCAAGAACGCCATTGCTCGATCAAAGACGAGACCGAAGAGAAATGTTTCAGACAGGCCATTGAAAGGACAACTCCTGCAGTCAGCAACGCCGTACAGATGTTCTCCTGCTCTGCAACTTCTTTCTTCATCTCCATTGCTCTTCGTTTTGGGTTTTTGATGCTCGGACTGAGAGATTCGATCTTATACGAGTCGATTCTTGGAACTGTGGTGGGACCAATTTGGATGTTCAAATGGCGAACATGAAGAACAAAAAGGAAGAGTGGAAAAAGGGTTTTGAACAGAGAGATGGAAGAGGAGACAAGAACAGGCATGCTTTGAATCTTATGTTAGTGCAGACATCTTATGATTACTTCCATCTCAGGCTTTTTCAGATTTCCTCTGTTTATTCTCTGTTTTGCCTTTTTTTTTTTAAAACAAATTGGGGACCCTATATTCCTTAAACAATGATTTTGAGCTCTCATATATTCCTTGATCAGTAACAATATTGTGTATAATTTATTATCGTGATTTCATAAATATGAGAATGACAAGAAAAAAAGAAATTAGTCCAATGGATTTGAGCAAAATATAGATGAGGTCACCGAGAAAAAAGTCGAAACAATTTTTTTTTTTTAAATGAGAAGTGTTTTGTACTCAAAGTTGAGTTGAAAGAGACATCGCATGCTTTCAACAGAGAAGATAACAGTTTTTGTTTTTGTTTTTTTTTTACAGAGAATGAAAATATATAAATTTAACGTGTAGGAATAATAATAATAATAACAATATATAAAAAAATCATTCAAAGACAGCCCACGCCTGCTCTCCCTTGTTTTGCTGCTTCCATCAGATCATTGGCCCCCACAGTGTTCATCTTTATCAAACACTTGAATCCACATTGATATATTTTGGTTTAATACAACTCCGTAAGCGTTGTAACTCAAAAATATGTTCGATTTTGATTCGGATACTTGTTCTTGATGGGGCGATTGTGTTGTTTGAATCGGTTCGTTCTATTTATGCTATGTTCTTTTTCGGATTTTGGCTATTCGGGATTGACTCGTCAATGTACTTGTGTGGATAACCGCGGTTGGAAGGCAGGACGAAGGGCACATCGGCATGATAAGAGGAGAGGGCCGAGTTTCACCGGATGGAACCGCGAGGAAAGAGCGAGAAAAGAGACATGTCCCCGCGGGTTACCCGTTAAAGTACGGGTATTACGACATCGAAACCCAAAAATATTACCCGAATTTTGAGTAGAGATAGTATTCCTGTCTACATCCTCTTTTCGTGTGGTGTTGCTGAAAATGGAGGTGGACGATGAACTGTCCAATTGGATTCTGCATCCAAAACCAAAACCCAGTTGGTTCAAACCAAATCTATCTGAACCCATTCTGGTTTTGCTTTATGATTTCTGATGAGCCAAACATCGATTTCGACAGAACCAAATCTTGTTCAAGTTTCAGACACAGGTTTTGAAACATCTATCCACCATTCTCAATTAGTTAGAGCTTAGGACAAAACAAAGAAAGCCAATCAAGTTGTGAACTGAACATATCCCATATGGTCAGATTTTGAAAGTCTCTTCATGTGCTTGGGCTTCTTCCCTCCTCTCTTCTATGCATCTTTTGCCTTGTTGTCCCTTAGAGAATATTAACCAAATACCTCAAAAACCAATTGGTTCCCTTAAAAACTCAGATCTTTTCTTGTACTCATAAATCTAAAAAGAGTCGAAGGAATCATTCAAGAAGAATTCTTCCCTGCCCACAGCAAAGCACCAATAAGGCTCCCTTGTACAGAGGTTAATCGTAGAGGGCTTTGCACTTTTACCATCTCTTCACAGACAAGGAGATGAACTGCAAAAATCATTACATGAATAGCAGAAATCAATTGGATGGAAATGGGATGTGAACAAACATTGCAACTACTTCTTACTGTTTAATCGGATATGATGAAATTCCATGCTCTGAGTGTCGAGTAAAACTACAAGAAGAAGATCTAGATCATAGTTTTAGAAGTAGAACTACCTAAAGCACTTTGGGTGGAGGGGGTAAAAAGAGACTAAACAATGCAGTTTCAATGTTTTTAACTGTGGCAAGAATGTTTTTAGCTGAACCGTGCAATTTTAGAAACTTCAGGGAAGACAGTAGTCTGTCTGTCGTTTATAGTCATCAAACTAGGAACTACTTCTTGACAGTGTAAGACATTTGATGGATGAATGCAGAAAAATTTAGTACTTCCATATGAGTATGAGCTTGTGAACATGAATATGCATGTATAGATAAACTACCTGTCTGGTAATACACACACACAACTGACCTGATGGGCAACCTGGGTCAGTCTCCGAGTTCCACTAGATGATTCATTTCCCAAAGTAGACTCGTCATTTTCTTTCTCCTCCACCTTCATCTTTGCCGGAGAGATATTATTATCATCATTGTCACTTAAAGCTCCCTTCTTCCTTTTCCTTTGGAATGTGTACTTCACTACTCTGTTTCCATCGAATTTCCTTGAAGACTCATTGTTTCCCTCCGATACTGCAGCAACTTTCAACTCAGGAGAATCCAGGCAGAAATCAACCACCTCAGACCCCATTCCGGTAGATGAAACCACAGAATTCTCACATTTTACCAACACATCTTCCCCGGGTTCTGATTGATTTGATGGTTTCACACTAACAGTAAGATTTGTGGATCCTGAGATTGAATCCACATTTCTTTTGATTAAGGTTAACCCAGAATCTAAACAAGGTAATGGTTTTATCTTAGCTTCGGTTTCAGGTATCTGTGCCTTATCTTCATCAACCTTAACATTAACAGGGAGTAAATTAGATTCTTCATGACCCTCCACCAGCTGATCAGTTGGCTTGACAGCACTAGGAATACTATCCAAACTCTTCATGTTCTTGGTCCGTTTCCCTTTACGAATGATTGCAATCTCATCAATGTACTGTGTTCTTTTACGGTGCAAATGTTCTTCTAATCCTTTGCAGGCTTTCACTGCAAGTGCATCCACATCCACTTTCTCACTCTCGTCCTGCAGATATGTCCTCGAAGAACTTTCAACAGATGCATTGTTCATGGATGTCTTGGAACAGGAATGGACAGATAGAGACTGACAAGGTTTTGCAGGCTGACAGGCATGAGACCTAAGTGAGCTCGCTTTCGGTTTTCCCCATCTTCTCTTTCGTCTTCTCCGTATTGTCCTTCCCTTACTGGTTTTCTTAGTTCCCAATGGATTTGGAGGCTTCTTTATCACCTCAACACTCAGACTACTTGCTCTAAGAGCAAGAACAGTACATCTTCTTCCGTTTCCCTCCGCAACAGTTTCAGTTTCGTTCACTTTTCCTGAACTTAGATTATCATTATCATCCTTTGAAGTTGTACCTTGATCCTCTACATGAGGAGGAGGTTTCTCCTCGAGCACGTTCCTTTCAAGGGCACGGATCCTCTGTGTGCATCCATTCCTATACAGCTCGAGCTCTTTGTTTCTCATAACGACGTCCAATTCAGATTCGCAAACATCACAATCCTCTAAATTGCCATCAAACTGCTTCACCTCATTACCGCATTTGTTATGCAGTGAGCTCTGATTTGCTAGAGAGTCTTTCGTCTCTGTATCTTCAAACCCTTGATTAGGATGAAAGCTAACAATAACTTCCGTATCAGCGTTCTCAGTAGAAATTACTTCCTCTATGGTGTTTGTTGCATTGAGTGACTGCGAATTGTTAGTTCTTGCTTTCTCCAATTTGTCCCTCACCCAGTGCAACTCTGATCTTAAGTCAGTGATGATATCTTCAGCCTCTTGAAGCTGAGCTTCGAGCTCATCAATCCGTCGTTGCTGGTTTGATGACGTAATCTCTGCTTCAATTGTCTGCAATGGTTTCGTGTCAGTGACGTTTTACCGGTTTAGGAAAACAATCAGCAAAAAGTTGAAGTCAGCTCCTTGATACCGATCCTTTTTCAAAAGTCCTAAAACCATTCTCGTTGTCATACAATAACACGACTGATGTTATATGAAGTTAACATATCACCATATCATACCTCTTGGCTCTACGAATTCAAATGCAAACATCTAGGAGCACAATAACTTTTGAATGATACACGAACAAGTGCTAATGCAAAAGGATGATAGACTAAACAGAAACGGTACACAATTTTCGCCTAACCACAAAATGAGAAGCTGATATGAAAAATGTCATCCATCAAATTAACAGTCAAACAAAGCTTAAACAATGATGAATGTTCAAATGAAATCAACATGACAAAACATTCTCATAAACGGAAATGGAAACAGACAACAAGCATACTCCCAAAGCAATCAACTTGAACAAGAGGCATCTCAATTTTCGGAATTTTCTGTTTCACTTCTTGAAAACCAGACAAATCCTCCAACATTCATCAATCATCAACCCCCAAAATTCAAAAGGGTGTACAGGAAAAAACACACGAGTGTAACGAACATCGCTCAAAATTTCGGGTAGGTTCTCGATATATCTACAATCTAATCCGTTTTGTAACTAATTGAAACAGTCACAGTTCCAGAATAGGACCTTAGCGTCGATCATCTGCTTCAATCGGACCAACAACCGAAGCGCCTCCTCCTTCGAACTGCACAGATCCTGTTGAAAACGCACAGCTTTCCGCTCCGACACCAAAACCCTAGCAGCTGCTTCCTTCGCCGTGTTCAGAATGATCTCGGCGTAGGCTTTCTTCAAGGCCGTCGTTTTCTGGTACCAAAAGAACGAAACTCGCATCAAAAGAAAAAACACAGATCGTAAAACCACCAGAAAACCCAGAACGAAATTCGGAATTTACATCAGATTCTTCCATGGTTGAACATGAAAAACGAAGGATCTTCCCCAGTTTTCTGGCCCTCCAGAGAAGAAGAGCGGAACTCGGGAGAAGCAGGAGAAAGGAAAAAGCACTCGCCTTCCTTCGCCGTTGGTTAGGAACTGACAAGCCCTTCGTGAAAATACGAGTTTACCCCTCGGAAACGACCGAGAGAAAACGACGTCGCTGTTGCGTACTCTCGCAACGATGAAACGGCGTCGGATTTCAAAGGCGCGCCCAGCTCGGTGCTCGAAGTGGGGACCACATGTCGGAAAGCGCGGTTATTTGGGAATTAGATTTTCAGAATTTTAAATTGCTTTTAAAAAAATTAGAAAAAAGAATGTGGGCTTCAATCCGCTACCTGTGTGATATGGGCTTAAAATGGATTTGATTACCGTATATACATATTTTGATTATAGTTAATTTAGGGCCGGGCTGACAATAATAGCCCAAATTGAACTTACAATTCAAAAATTGCAATTTTTTTATGGCAATTGTCAATCAAACAACTGCAAAATAACACATTGCTTCCTAAACTCACTTTTAATATCTATGATATGCTAATTTTTTGTATCATGTGATACGTGTATGTTGAAAAATATGAAAAAAAAAGTAAACAAAATATAAACGTCTACAATATAAATATATGGTATCTCATAAACTAGCTATCAATTATATTTCTAAGGATATGCATCATTCTTTAATAGCACAACGTGAGGTTTCTTCACCATTATAAATTATAATGGTTCCTCTACTCATATCCTAGTGACATAAGTGGACCATTTGGTAAGACAAATTATTTGTGCAATTTAATTCATAGTTTGCTACATAATATATGGTTTGTGTGGTTATTTGTAGGTGTTGTATATAAGTTGTAATTGAATAGCGTATCAACTTTCCTTTTTTACCAAATAATATTTTATTTTATTTTTTGATAAAATTTGTGTATATTTCTCAAAAAGGATATTAATTTCTCATTAAAGAAAAATGTAAAAGCATTGAATAGACGGTCCATTACCAGCAGTAGAAAGAGGGTAATCCTAAAGTTAAAAAAAATGAAAATTTTATTTTCATAACAAATAATTATTGGAGCACTAAGCATATAATATAAGATAATAGCACCATATTATAAACTATATAACATTTTTTAAGCTCGGGTGTGCGTGGTGCAACATTTATGTATAATATCATATACCATCCTATCAATATCAAACATATATGATGTATAATATATCGGTAATATAAAAAAAATTGTGTATAACATATAGTTGGTTAGTTCAAACAGTTGAAAAGATTACATGAAATTCCCACCAATGTTTTTGCTCTATTTCAAATCAAAGGTTGATTTTTGACCATACCAAACCCTAGAGCCACAATTTGCTACCACCAAAAGGGTGTCATAGTGACAATGGGTTTATATATAATTTATTTATATATACTTAATTAATTATGAAAATGAGAACCAAAGTTCTTATATGTTGAAAGACTATTCTACGTGGTCTAGACAAAATTAAATGCGTGTTCTGAATTGATTTTTGGTTTGATGTTATTTTTTCTCAATTGAATTTCATGGTGAGCTGCCTTGGTCAATGCATTACATATTATTTTGCAATAAACAAAATAAATTACTAAAATATTAAAATTTGGTCAAAGGATATGTGCGAATGCTATGATTTGTCATCCACCTCCACTGCAAAAATCTCAAAAATATCCTTTTTTTGAAAATCGTATATACAACAAAATGAAAACTTACCATTATAAAACTTTGATATGATTCAACAATTCCGGTGGAGATTGACTGCGTGAACGATGATCCCAAAGCCCACAAAAAAAAAAATTACATGTTTTTCTACGTAGTATATTTCAAAAGTATAAGTTATTTTAAAAATATATTTATTCTGAATAATATTATACATCATACCCATGCTTCAACGACTATCACAATGTCAATTATAATAACTTTTACCGTTCCTATTTACTTGTCTCTGAAATCAATTTATGAATGTTCATTAATTCAAATCAAATAGATCACTATGTGAATTTAATTAAAAAAAATGAAGATTTGTAATTTTGTATATAGCTTATACAAAAAGAATACAATCAGAAAAAAAATGATAAGTATTTTTTAAACTAAATTATCTCTAATTGAACCTAAATATAAAGATAAGTGAAAAATGAAAAATATATATGTTTTAAATAACTATGCTTTTAATATAAATCAAATAGTGAAACGTCCAAATTTAAAGTAAAAAAATTCCATGTTATATTTATTTACAAAAATTTGGAAAATTCCATAAATATATTTCTTACAAAATTTTGAAAAACTCCATAACTATATGATGCAATGCAAGTAATACTTGACATTTTCATTTTCTTTAATTATCTTGAAATAAAGGAAAGAAAAGGTAATTTCTCAGTCGTCTACGAACAATAAACGTCAAAGTCGATGACGACTACATTGGCCAACGAGTGTCTCTCTAATTTGCATTTTTCCCTTAAGACCGTTCAACCCGTCTGACTTGACAGGCCTGCCCCTTTGGAAAAGCTCGGAATTCATTGGCAGATGCTGAGAAACCCTTGATTTTGATCCAAACTTAGAAAAGCTCTGACCTTTTTCCGCCATGGGAATCGGTTCGAAACCTTCAAAGTTTCTTCTTTTATCCATCGCTGTTACAGTCGTGTTCTTCTGCTGCCTAGTTATGGCGGCAGATGAAGACGATGTCAGATGCTTACAGGGCGTGAAGAACTCTCTGTCGGATCCTCAGGGCGCGCTGAAATTATGGAACTTTGCCAACTCTACCGTCGGTTTTCTCTGCAATTTCGTCGGTGTGTCTTGTTGGAACAATCAGGAGAACAGGGTCATCAATCTTGAGCTTAGGGACATGGGTTTGTCTGGTCGAATACCAGAGTCGCTCCAGTTCTGCGGTAGCTTGCAGAAACTTGATCTCTCTGGGAATCGTTTGTCTGGTAACATCCCTTCCCAGTTTTGTGACTGGTTACCCTTTCTGGTGTCTCTCGATTTATCCAGCAACGATCTCGGCGGTGAACTTCCTCCTGAGTTAGCTAAGTGTAGTTTCTTGAATTCCTTGGTTTTGTCAAGTAATCGTCTTTCGGGTCAAATTCCGGTACAGTTCTCTGCTTTGGGTAGGTTAGGCAAGTTCTCTGTGTCAAACAATGATCTTACAGGTCGCATTCCTGGGTTCTTCAATTCACCGAATTATACTGCTGATGATTTTGCTGGAAATAAGGGGCTTTGCGGTCGTCCTCTTCATTCTGGTTGTGGAGGGCTGAGCAAAAAGAATCTTGCAATCATAATTGCAGCTGGAGTGTTTGGTGCTGCTGCATCAATGTTGTTAGCTTTTGGAGTTTGGTGGTATTACCATTTGAAGTGGACAAGAAGGCGGCGGAATGGGTATTCATCCGGGAGAGGAGATGGTAGTGATTGGGCGCAAAAACTGCGTGGCCACAAGGTTGCTCAAGTTTCTTTGTTCCAGAAGCCTCTGGTTAAGGTCAGACTGGGTGATCTGATGGCTGCAACGAATAATTTCAGCTCGGAAAACATAATTGTTTCCACTAGAACAGGCACAACATATAAGGCAGTTCTGCCAGATGGGTCAGCCCTTGCAGTCAAGCGTTTGAGCACTTGTAAGCTCGAGGAAAAGCAGTTCCGTTATGAGATGAACAAATTGGGTGAACTTCGCCACCCGAACTTAACACCCCTTCTAGGGTTTTGTCTGGTTGAAGATGAGAAGCTTCTTGTTTACAAGTACATGTCGAATGGGACATTGCACTCATTGCTGCATTCGGTCGGGGCCGAACTGGATTGGCCAACAAGGTTCAGGATCGGTTTAGGCGCTGCCAGGGGCCTGGCTTGGCTTCACCATGGATGCCGGCCTCCTATACTTCACCAAAATATTTGTTCCAGTGTGATTCTCATTGATGAGGATTACGACGCCAGATTTATAGATTCTGGACTTGCAAGGCTAATGGCTCCAACAGATACCAACGAGAGCAGCTTCATGACCGGGGATTTAGGAGAATTCGGGTATGTGGCTCCTGAATATTCTAGCACGATGCTTGCATCACTGAAAGGCGATGTCTACGGACTGGGAGTAGTCCTCCTAGAGTTGGTGACAGGGCAGAAAGCTCTAGGGGCTGGCTCTCTTGACGAAGGGTTCAAAGGAAATTTGGTTGATTGGGTAAACCAGCTTGATAGTTCGGGCAAAATCTCAGATGCCATTGACAAAAACATAAGTGGGACGGGTCACGATGAGGAGATCTTAAAGTTTGTTAGGATTGCATGCAACTGTGTGGCTGCAAGGCCTAAAGAGAGATGGTCTATGGTTCAGGCATACCAGTCCCTGAAAGCTATTGCCGAGAAAATCGGGTTTTCATTCTCAGAGCAAGACGATGACTTCCCCTTGATTTTTGGCATTCCAGAGAATGAGACAATGTAAGCATTTGGAGCCTTAGATTGAGAGGCTAAAGAACACATCAATGTCGAACTTGTCTTCATCCGTCTAGGTTCCCTACTTACCGGGTTCTTGCAAATCTCCGTTATTGTAATGTAAAACATGTTGTTGCCAGTTTAATGTTGTCATGTTAAGTAGATGCATGTGCCATAAAGCTTCAGATGCTCTGTAGAGGTGATTACTATATGTAAAAAGACACTGTATATGTTCTTCTGGGTTGGTTTCCCTTGTGCTTGCCAAGCTTAAGATTTGTTCTGTTGCTTTTTATGGTGAATGTATATGTTCTGAAGTGAAATTGTAAACCAGTGGACTGAGTCTCTGCTTGGATAAGGATCTGAAACATGGGTTTGGTCCTGTAGTCTTTGGGAGACTGATGAAAAACACTTCTGTTGCATCTTTCTTTTACAAACACAAGGAAAGTACTCAACTTGTTGAAGAAAGAGACAGGAAAATTGGAATGTGTGCTCAATGCAGAACAGAAAAAGATGATTCTCAACAGAATCTTACTTTGGACCAAACTCTCCTGCTTCTGGATACAGTAAATTAAAAAAAAAACAACAGAAAAAAAGCTAAAGAATTCAAGAAAAATGGAAAAATAGTTACGAGAGAGAGAGAGAGAGAGAGAGAGAGAGAGAGAGAGCTCTTGCAGAAGTGCTCTTCCTTTTGCATTTCACTTTGTTAGATGCTACCCAAATACAAACAAAGATTCTTCTTGATTTCTTGAAGAAAAGCTAGAAAAAATGCATCACATTTTCAATGTAACCTATCAAGAATCAAGAAGGCAGCATGCTTTGGAATTCGAATTTATTCGAAATGGGGGCATCCGCTGGTGTTCATAAGAATATATGTCATGCTTTGATAGAGATAGATATACTTAAAAATGTAAAGTTATTAAAAGAGGTGAAAAAGAGAATCATAAAGAAGAACCTGACCATGCACATATTATATGGTATCACCATCACCATTGTTTAAGGGGGGGGGG